AGCGGCTGAGAGAAACCCTAGAAGCTAAAAAGGAGAAAACCCTAACGAGAGGGAGTTAAGTGGGGATTTTTCATGGCTTGTAAATTTTGATTTTAATTCACAAGAAAGAATCCTACATTTTCGTTTCTTGTAGCTCAAAAATAACTTAAGGCTACAATGTAATTAGCATGGGCACGTGACCTGGAGGGTGTTTGTGAAGGCTTATATTTTAAAGCTTATAGGTTATGCTAGTTTTTAGTGGCTTTTGACTTTTATGATAAGAATATTATAAAAATTATTTGGATAGTAGTAATTTGTTTGGTTAAGTCTGTTAGGTTTCATGTTTATGAGCTTACTATCTAATCTAGTTTTGATGATTAACAAACAATTACTAACAATGTTTGTTGAGTGTTTATTTACTTGTTAGGTATTCTACACAAAGATCCTCCTGTTGGAGGTTGGTTGGAATTGAGCGTAAACGATCATATCTATTAGAGGTTGGCGGAATCGGAATGAAGCTTTGCATTTCAAGTCAAGATCCAACATTGCTTCATCCGCAACCAAGACGAGCTATATTGAAGATTTTCATCTTGGATAATGTTTTAGGTTTATACTTTGTGTGTTGATACTTAAAGCTCAAATATTATACACACATACACGATTTGGTTTTTATAGCTTTCAAGTTTAAATAAATATTAAACAAATATATTTGTTTATATACATACATATACGTTTCATATTTATCATTTTTATTTTTTTAAAATAATGTATTTAGCCACATAAATATGAAACAAATGAATATAAATTGTATACACTCATATTTGTTTCATGTTTAGATGTGCTTGATATGATTTCATTGAGATCAAGAGTTGAAATCATGTTTATTATTTTGAAAGATTGCAAAATATGTGTATTTTTGATAAAACATTGTGTTATTGATTTATAGACTACATAATATTAGTTTATATCTTTTATTTAGTCTCTATATCCATACAAGAGTTTTTAAAACTTTGTTTAAGTCAAATATCAAAAACAAGTGTATTGACATTTCGTATTTTGACCTAGTTTGCAAAATGATGAGTTTTCACAATTGGGTAGTGCAATTTAAAAAATTATTTTTGTAACATGTTCATTTTCATGTTTATAAATATTTTTTAAAGTTTTATATTTTTTAGAATCTGTTTTATATTTTAAACAATGTTTAAAGTTAATGTTTACTGTTCATATCAGGTTCTGTGCACGTTTTAAGTCGACTTGCTACAGTACCAAGTCGACTTATAAAGTATTACACAGATGGTGTTTTTTATCAGCTTAGTCGACTCATAATATAACAAGTTAACTTTTACTATATAAGTCGACTCATACCTATCATAAGTCAACTTACAATATGGTCGTTACATAGTAATAGCTAGTTTTCAGATTTTATTATTTTTGTATTTTTCTTTGATTTTTTGGGGTTTGTTTTGTGAACCTATATATACCCCTTAACCTTAAACTTCTAAACTCATCTAAGAAAAGTTTTAAACAAGTTTTTACAAGTGTTTAAGGATGTTTTAAGTTTGTTTTACAAGTATTTATGTGAAGAGAGTTTCACAAGAGTAAGAGATTTTTTCATCTACTGTTTGAGCTTCAATTTCTCATCTCAATCGCTCTTGATTCTTGGAAAAGTCTTTCTAAACTTATATTCTAGCATATTCATATTTTGATTCATATATATATATATATATATATATATATATATATATATATATATATATATATAATATATATATAGATATATATATATATATATACTTGTGCTAGATTGATTTAAGTTTAGTTTCATTTTATTTATTGTTTCACACACAACCATTGAGCTTCAGTATTTTCACATATTGTATAATTTGGGTTGTGGATGTGATTGAGTGAGCTTACACTTAGTTCTCATCTTGTATTGGAGAACAAACCAATTGTATTTGAACTTTTATTGTGAGATCACATTGTAATATACAAGGACACTGAGAAAAGTGTGTGGGGGAGAGAGGGGGTTGATTCCAAGAGGAGTGACGTCGGTAGTAAAGCCTAGGGAGAGGTGGTAAATCCGAGCACTTAAGGAAGACGGTACAGGCTATGCCAACACTTAGAGGGTGTATTGCGTAGTTACAAGTGTGAGAGTTGTAAGAGTTTTCCGTGAGCTAGAAAACTGATTGTGTAAAGGTTTTCGGTGAACGTTGAAAATCGGTTGTGATAGTGGAGATTCTCCTCATGAGTGAGGAGCGGAGACGTAGGTCGAGGGTGACCTAACTCTATGATCATATCGTGTGTTTTTGTTTGTCTTGGCGTATTATTCTTGTGCTCATTGCTTATCATATTTCTATATCGCTATTGTCTCATAGTTTATATCGCCTTTTGTTTATTTGTTATACTTGCATATATCTCATTGTATATCATACTTGCTAGGATGTTGTTAATAAGTTTTATTTCGGCATTAATATTGGATTATATTAGCATATACCTCACCCTACCCCGCCCCTCTAGGGTCATTTCATTTGGTATCTGAGCAATTTCAAGTCTTGATTATTTAAGTGAGCTTATAAGTTAGTTTTTCAAATGTGGAGGTACTTCTAAAATGTAAATTATAAGCTAACTTATTTTATATTTATTAAACATGCAGAATGAAAAAACAAGCTTAAAATCTAGTTTGACTAAAAAAATAAGCAACCACAAACATCCTCTTAGTTGGGTTGGTCATATTCAAATCAACCGGTATGAAAATGGTCAATCATCAATTTGATCATTAATTAAGTCAAAGGTCTAATTTCCATACATGAAACCAATCCTCGAACTTTTATTAAAATTTTATAAACAAAAGCTCTTGTCTCTCTTTCTCCTTTTGTTACTTTCCTTGAATGCCCCAAAACCTTACGTGTTATTATTTCTAAAAGTGAAATTTAGGGGTTGTTTGGTTCGTTTACTTGATATAGAGAAATGCAATTCCATGTAAAGAAACACAAGTTTTGAGTTTTCCAAACTTTTCCAAGAAATAGATTGTTTTGCTTTGGTTCGCACATAAAAAATGGTGGGAAACCAATGTATTTATTTTTCTTGTGTTTGGTTCGCATAGAAAAAAAAGGAAAACTTTTGTAAACAAAGCAGAGAAGGAAAAAAAATCTGACGTGGCAGAGTTTTCATCAATTTCACTTGGTTGGGGAAGGAAATCGGAGAGGGAAAAAAATCTTAGTTAGCGGCGATTTCAGCAGAGTTTTCCCTCTTCCATTCGAGCGAACCAAAGCGGCACAAAGAAATGGACGGAAACAAAAAAGCTGACGTGGAGGGCTAAAAATCTGACGTGGAGGGGTTTTCTGAGTTTTCCACCCCTTATAATAGCGAACCAAACAGCCCCTTAAAAACAATGCCCTTAAATTAAAAATGCAAAGAAAAGAGCCAAGAATCAGAGATGTAGATACGAATAAGAAGAATTCAAAATTTTAACGAAATAAAATACCTCCCAACAACTTCCGTAATCATTTCTTCTAATAAAGTGTTCTGCATGAAGCACTTATGCGGTTACTCAAAATGGAAAATCTCAAGTAGCCAATATCTTTTTACTTATGTATGACCTGAAAAATAAGAAGATATTTTGCATACATGAGTAGATTCGCTTTCTGACGTACCATCATTTTGTATGGAAAAAAAGACCAAGAGCATAAGACGGGAACATATAGTCACATATGTTTGTAGGCAAGACATGCATAGAATAACATCTATATATTGATAGATCTTAGACATATTTCAGTGTATTTGGATCAATGTAGTTGGAGCTTATGTTGTTAAAACTACATCAATAAGCATTTTGATGAAGACATCGCACAGCCTCCACTTCGCACATCCTTTAGCCGTCGTCGTCGTATTGCTTCAGCTTATATTTGGTTTTGATTTTGAGAAGGCTTGGAGTCTAGCTAGTGTTACTTTTATTCTCTTTGCTTCAGCTTATATTTGGTTTTGATTTTGAGAAGGCTTGGAGTCTAGCTAGTGTTACTTTTATTCTCTTTATTGTATTTGCTCTTTTTTTTCTAGCTAGTGTTACTTTTATTCTCTTTATTGTATTTGCTCTTTTTTTTAGTCCCACATCGGATATGGGAGTGAACTTGTAGTTGTTGAAGACCTATTTAAAGAGGTCAATTCTATGAAATAAAAAGAGGAATATTTGAAGAAAATTTTATTTCATTTGCGAAACTTTGGGTAATTCATTTGATCTCTAAGATTAAGTCAATGGTGGTGAAGCAAAGGCCTGAGCGATTCGTGGTCATATCTTGTTAATTTTCCAAACCCTAGCTCTCCCCAAATCTTTGTTCTTCCCCAAATCTCCCAAATCCCCAACATAAAACCCTAAAATTCCCATCGTCCCGCATCACATTTAGTTGTAGATAGTTGCAACATCAAAAGTAGGCTAAAAAATGAGTGCTGCAACAACATGAGCTAACATGCTGATGCAACATCTTAAGTTGCAACACATGTGGATACAATTACATTTGTTTTCTGCAACATTCTCTAACCAAACACACATTCAGCTTGGTAATTTTACCATATTCATCTCATATCTTTCTATCAGAATAAATAAATAAATAAACAAAATATTCATCTCCATATCACGTGTAATGAAGGTGCAAAAAATCTGGTTAATAAACACAAGATATAAACTGCTAAGTGAGTAAAAGATTCAAATTCATATTTGTTTCCCCAAAGCAATGATACCCTTTTTGTCTACATCACACAAATTTGAATTTCAAATGCTCTAAATGCTAGCATCAGAGATCATAGAAAGTGGCTGCTCAAAATACAAATGCTGTTAGATTTTGAGTCTGAAACATATACAAGTATAAACTTGGATCTGAAACAATTAATAATTAGTTGGTAACTACTATATAATGTGACTGGATCGCGCTAAAAATATTGGTGATGCTGTAGTAAAATAAACTTAATGATTACTTACAAAAATCCACAGAAATTGAAAGAATTATGCAAAATCAGGTTACAAGAAAAGGTAGAAGATCTGCTGTTACGCGCAAATCTCCAACATCGGTCATTATACTGTATCCCAAGCTATTGACTTGATTCTTTCTTGGCAACAGAATTATCCTGCTGCTGCTGCTGAAAAATATGATTGATTGAGAGTTGCTGGAAGGAGCTACTTGATAAATGAGCGCCTTCGCCATTGGCAAGTTTCAGACGGTGCACCTCTGCAGTCAATGCCTCATTAAGAGCTGTAAGCATTTTGAATTTTGAATATATCAGACATAGAAATCAATCCTATAATCAAAGTGGAAAGAGTTTTATAGGAAAAATCATGCCCTTCTAAGGGAAGCAACAGCAAGGATAAGAAACCATCAAGTATTATTATGACATCCTAACGTTTAGTCCCATATCGGTGCGTGAATAAGTGTTTGAGTGGTTTTACAGGCAAGTCTAAGACTCAAGTGCATTATTGGCTAGTCGATTTTGATAGTAATTTGAGCCAAACAATGGCCTACATTCAGCGGGTCCCACAGCTTACAAGTCTTACATCGCACCAACGAGATTGCGGGCATGAGGGTTGACAAATGGTATCAGAGTTCTTGCTAAGTGCTACCCCATATAAGTGAGGTGGGAGCCATATCTAGAGCTCGTAGGAACTAACTCTGGAGTCTACATCGCCTAGCAATAATAGTGGAAATGACCAATAGCCAATGTTGCAACGATGACACAGTCTTTGTAAGATGGGGCGATTGTACCATCCAACGTTTAGTCCCGCATCGGTGGGTGACTAAGTGTTTGAGTGGTTTATACATAAAGTCAAAGACTCAAGTGTAGCATCACCTAGTCGTTTTTATAGTGGTTTGAGCCAAATAACATGCTACACTCAGTGGATCCCACGACTTACATCGAGCCAACAGGCTCGCAGGCTCGGGGTGTGACAATTATCACCAAAGATCAAACCTTCTAATGAAAATAGACACATATCCACTTAAAATTGGCAAACCCCCTTCTCTTCCATTAAAAAGTTTTTTTTTTTTAATGTGGGGATTTTTACATGACTCTAATCCAAGCTATAAACAAATTAGGGGAAAAAATTCCCTGAGTACGCTAAATATCTACAAATATTGGTATTTAACTTGAGAGCAATTTTTGTGTTCAAATCCCATCCAGAAACTCAGTAGTATTTTAATAATTCGGAATAACAAGTAAAATAATGCAACAAAAGATTTTCAAAGTTTAAGAAGACATTCTGAAGTAGTAGATGTATCAATCTACGAGTTATCATATTTTCTATAGCATTGTGGAAAATTTATTTTCATTTTCGTGTAATAAGGTGTGGGTGTGAGGGGATTAAACCAAAAGGAAGTGGAAAGATACAAATTCCAGTGTTACCATCTGTTGCATGGAATTTTATTCACTGGTGAAGTTTAAATGCACGAGTTTCATAAGAATATAACAAAAAACTTTCGCAACAATAATGGACAAAGACGGAACAGACATGAAGAGTACTACGAAAACTTGCTTATAGCCTCAAAGGGAACAAACATGAAAACTCTTATTAAACTTGTTCACACATTCAAAGGGTAAAGAGGAGTGGGGCAGGGGGAAACAAGGTTTATTTTGAACAAAATATTCAGAAACTTCAGATTAGGGATGCCCCCATGTAAAAGGACATAGGGTAAGGTTGTCATTCTGACTCCGGGGCTTGTACGATTTGTCCTCCAAAAATTCAACTTTCACGTCTGTCCTTAAGCTGGTTTAAGTCTTGCAGAAAATAATAGTGGAGAATGGTTTTTCTGAATATTTACAGGAGCTTACTTCATGACGTATTTGGCAAGGATCTAATAATAGTTAAATTTCTAGACGAGTGAAGAAAAGGAGAGTCAACAAAGATCAAAACAATAACTTCTTCCTCTTCCGCTTCTTAGACAGGAGGCATATCAATAATCTCAAGCTTAAATTTTAGTCTTTAGTAACTATTAAATCTTAGTAAATAAGATGCATCATATTCATATATGTGACAAATGATTTGTGCTATATATTCTCACACCTAAAACCAAAATCAATGTTTATCCTTCATGAGGCTAGGGAATTCAGTTTGTTGACCATTCCCAATTGAAAAACGTATTAGAGTTAATCCCCTCCAATGACAAAATATCAGCTTCTTGTTATTACCCTGTCATTCAGACAATTTGAGAAATATTTTTAGAACTCACTGAGACTCCAAGATGCTCGATTCTTATAGGCAAATTTGGTACATTCAACATACTAACCATGTCAACTCCAGGGAGGCTTGACCATTGCTATGGTGGGAGTAGATAGACACGGTTATGGTCAACGGAAACAAACATATATAAACACAAAAAGAAAATGATGACTCCTTATTCAACATATCTAAACTCTATAAGACTTGTGAGATTATTTGGAGTATCTTAAGGGTAAATTTCAGAAAACCCAACTTAACTTTGGGAGATCATTTATTTGTTAGAGCATCAAATTTTATTGAAACTTTGTAAGGTCGTGTATGCTCTTCTTTTTTGGATACTTTCACATTTAGGGGCTATCCTAAAATTTTCAAAGAGTTATCTTTCCTAATATTTGTACCAAAAAATCAATTTTGGAATCAACCTTAAAATTGTGAAAAGTTTAAGGTTTTAAACACAATTACCTCATTTCTTCATTTCAAAAACATTAGGCTAATAGGCTTATAATTTAAGCTGTTGTAAGTTCGGGGTAGCAACAATTTTTCAAACATTATATCCGCTGAAACTTATGTGTCTTAAACCTAATTTCTTGATTTTGAGAGGCTAGATGAAATTTTCTATTTCCTCCTCTCCTTCACTGTTTGTTGCCAGCACCCGACCCTAAAAGAAATGGACGGCTTTGGCAGCCGGGATGGCCATCAGCAACGGAACTGTTGACTGTGATAAGGACGGAGACCATCCGAAGTTGCAGAATGTACTCCAAAATATGTTGACTAAACTTTTTATGATACTATTATCCTTTTAACTTTTAGCGCCCTTTCTAATTAATATTTTTTATATGACATTATTATCCTCTTTTCTTAACTTTTTATTCGTTCATATTAATTAGTGTTGTCCATGAGCTAATGCAATGAACTGTGAGTAATTGATTGTGATTATTGTATATTATGAATCAATTTATTATTATAACATTCAATTCATTAATTCATTTCTCTCATTAATCCTAAGCCTCTGTATCCATATAAATATATTAATTAGTGCTCTGGAGGTTGTAAAAAAACTACACATCCATTTCTTGAGAGTTTTTCACTGCTAACAAGTTGACTGGTGGGAGTGTCTGGACGAAGACAACTTTGTTTCTATTGCTGGACTAGAAAGACAGACAATGACTTTATGCACGCCATTCTTATCCATTTGCTTGCTAGCGATAAACCCCTGATGAGAAATCCGCCACCCATAGCGCACAAGTGGTGGGTTCTCTATGTTCATATTGATGTTTTAGATTGCCGGAGAAGATTAAGGAAAATTATAAAAATATATGAGAAAAAGAGGAGAAGGGGAAGCTTTCTTTTTTCTTGTTTTTCCCCCCATATTTATTGCAGTAACCTCAAAACCACCTTTTATATAGATGGAAAGAGGCCCTGTAATGAATTGACTATTATAATAATAATTCGTCCATAATATACAATAATCAAGATCAATTGAATCATAGTTTATTGCATTAATTATGGTCCACTCTAATGAATTTGCACTTGTAAAAAGATAATAAATGAAGAAGAAAATAATATCACATAAACTAAAAATCATTAAGGAGAACAATTTTTTGATATGAAATACCCAACTTCTCTGCTTGGTTGTAAAGTGGAAAGGTCCTTCTTTCTTGCCTGCAGATGTAGGCAAGGTTGTGGCTGAACAGCATCGTTTGGTATTCTACTGTGGTTTATTTTGTGTTATCTTATATCACATTTTAGTTCATCTTAATTCACATACATCTTGGAGTTGGCTCTTTTAATTCCCAATCTCGATATTGAGTTTCTAGCTGACGAAACTATATGGACTAAATAATGTATTGTCCCATAGAGTGAAAGCAGGTGAGAGTTGTAAGCTCATGAGAAGGTAGAGTCGGTGAGTCACTCATGTTTACTTCATTGCGGCCGTATGATTAATTTCTTTTTGATATTTGGGATTTCCTAAAAACTTGTGCGCTGTCTTATAACGATAGAAAATATTTGAGGAGTCTCTATCTCAAATTTATTTTCAGGTTATCTTAAATTTCAGAGTGTCCTCCTTTACTTTGGACGATTATCATATAATTTTGAATTTTTGGGATAATCTGGAATAACGATGCTAGGGGGTTTAATGAAAAACCTTAACGTTGAAGGGGGTTTTCCGATAACCCAAAATTTTAATGAGGTTCTGATATTTTGAAAGTTACAACTAAACCATCACCAATTGACAAAGAAGAGAGATCACAAATGGTTCTCACGCTCCATGCTCTAATAAATATTAGTTATTGAAAGGATAACTAGAATAATTAAGTCATTATCTCTAATTAGATGGTACCACAAGTCATGAATTTCCTTTCATGAATTTACAAAGTGAAGTCATGAATTTCCTATCACGATTTACAAAGTAATGTCATGAATTTATGAAGTAAACTCATAAATTACTTCATTGAGAAAGATCTTAAAGTCAAAAGTCAAAACTAATAAGTATGCAAGGAATCACATCTTACCTATACAAAGGTTTGAGATATCCTTTTTAAACATCCTAAAAGAACTCAAAAGAAAATAGCTACTAAAATAGCAAATTTGTTCGAAGTAGAAAAGCCATCATTTTTCTAAAGACTAAACGTTGACTGATTCATCAAGAGCAATGCGTGTGAAGCTTTGGAGAATTTTGCATTTGTGAAATCTTTAGGAGTTCACCCTCACATTTATCAAATTCATGTAACCATGTGTTTAATCTTGGTCAAACTATTTTTCTTTAACGAAAAGAATAATTTATTCCTAATATCGTTAGGATCGTCTGTAAACTTTCAGCGATATGAGAGACTAGGGATCATCATAGGCCTGAAGACATTATTAGGTAAGTGAAGATCACTATGGATTTGTCGCGGGAACAAAGGTCTACAAAAGAACACAATGCTATATGGGTCACAACGATCTGTCTAACCAAGGCTGTTGGTGATTTCATAAAAAAAACAAAGATAAAAAATATCTTTCCGACCATTCTGGCTACCGTAGCCGTCCAACCTTTTTGGG